CGGGCGGCGGAGCCGGCGGCGACTCGGGGCTCCGTGCGGCGCGTAGGCGTCGTGCGCGCGCGCTTGGCGGGCGGATCGGGGTCCGGCTTGCGCATCTTGGTATTCAGTTTTGGCAGGGCGTAATTTACACTCTTGCGTGAGCGGCGCGTGCGGTCCGGCAAATCATCCAGGGACGCAAGGTCCGCCAGCGCAGACGCCCGCCGCGACCGCGGCGCACTTGTGCGAGGCGGCGTGGCGGGCGCCGCCGGCGCCGGCTCCTCCGGCGGCTCACTGGGCTCGGGCTCGGGCGGTGCCGCAGGCTCGACGTCGGGCTCGGGTTCGGCTTCATCAGGCTCCGTGGGCGCGTCGGGCTCCATGCGTGGCGAGGCGGGCGCCTGCTCTAGCGCCACACGCTCGCTCTCCCACCGCGCGCTGCTGCGGCGGCTCGGCCGCCGGCGCGTGACAGAGACGGGGCAGTGGTCGCCACGCAGCGGCGAGGCAACGCGAGGCGTGTGCGGCGCGTCGTCCAAAGCGTGTGTGGGCGTCGTGGGCGGCCTGCGCAGCGTGGTATCTTCGTCCTCCTCGGCAATCAGGTCCGCCGCCAGCGGCGTCGCGAGCGAGACGGGCAGGCGTGTGGTCGGCAGGCCCTCGCTGAGATGCACGCGCGCGCTCGGCGGGACACCAGGCGGCGTCGGCAGGGCTCGCGCCGCGCGCTCGTGTGTGCGCGCGGGCGTCGCCACGCCGCCGTCGCGCAGGGCCTGCGCCATCGTCTCCCAGCCGACTCGCACGCACTCGAGTGCGTACTCGAGGCGGCGCACATGCGTGCTCTGGCGGCTCGCAGCAAGCTTGTGCTCAGCGCACTCGCCCTCAAGCTCGAGGATGCGCGCCTCTAGCTCACGGATGCGTGCATGCGCGAGGGCGTTGGCCTGGACCAAGTCGCGGTTCTGCGCTGCGTGCTTGCGGCGATCTGGGTGAGTGAGCCGCACGTACACTGCTCAAAGTGACTGACGATCTGGTCGACGTGGAAGGCCGACGCACTGGGATCGGCGCCCCCACTCGACAGCCGCGACGACTCTCGGCGCGTGAGCGGCGGCATGGCCGGAGCGACGAACACGCGGCGGGCGGCACCAACAGCCGACGCGCCGCGCGCGTATCACGTGATTCAACGAGAGGGGGACAGCGGACGCGTCGGCAGGGCCGTGCCACCTTGCGACGATGCGGCGCCAGGGGTCGTATGTGATGCCACTTACCACAGACGCATCGCCTACAGTGATGAGGACATCCACTTTATTCTCGACCTGCTAGAGTCAAGGCCGCGGCCATGGAATGTCTCGGATATCGCGCGCACGCTCGCGCGCCTGCGCCCCGCTCACACATTCTACAGCTACCAGTTCTTTCTCCAGCAGAACCTGCGCGAGCGGCTGAATTTGGTGCGCCGACTGGAAGAGCGCAAGGCACAGCGTGGCACTGGCGATGCGCCGACGGCGCTGCCCCTGCATTCCCGCTCTGCGCCGCCTGCTCGCTCCGTCACGCCATCGTCCCTGTCGTCGCTCGACGAGCTGTACGAGGAGGCCCAAGCCTTGGACGATCATGCGGAGGCAGCGGATGCGGTAGAGGAACGGGACGTTGCGCGTGCACCCCCTGCGGACGAAAGCGAAGAAGAGGAGATGGATGAGGAGGCGGTCCTCGCGTTCGAGGCCTTGCACCACTCGCGCACCGGCCCGAGCCCTGCGAAGGAGGCGACTGGCGCAGGCGCCAGCAGTGCAGTGGGGGTGCAGGACGATCAGATGGACGAAGAGCCTCAGGATACCGAGGCAGGGGCACAGCCCTTGGGCGACGCCCACGGTCCTGCGCCGGCGCCGGCGCCGGCGCCGGCGCCCACGGCCCCTGCTGTCGAGGCGTCTATGCTCGAGGCGCCCGTGTCCGCGCATGCTGATGAAGATGCACTCTTTGAAGAGCCGGGCGAGCCGGGTGCGCCGGTCGCACGCACGGCGCCGCCGCGCCGCGCGCCGCGCGTGCCTGTGTCGCAGGTCCACGAGGAGCAGCTGGTCGACGCGCTCGTGCATGAGCTGGACGCATCCGGCATGGATGCAGCCTCGGTTGATACAGAGGCCCAGCTGGCGGCGCCCATTCCCGCGGACGTGCTGGAGCGCGTCGCGGACGCATGTGCGCCGCCGCGGCCCACGCTGGCAGCATGGCAGACGTACGCGGAGCTTCACGCGCGCACGCTGTGGCAGACGGCGCTGGACCGCTGGTCGCTGCGTGCGACGCCCGAAGCGCCGGCGTCGCCAGCCTTGTCGGAGCTGGAGGCGCCAGCGTCGCCTGACGGCAGCGAGCGCATGGTGGATGCTGCGCTCGCCGGCGACGTGCACACGCCTGAGAGCCAGGCCATCCCGCCACGCTACACGCCGCACAGTGTGCGCGTCGGCCAGCGGAGTGGGCACCATGATGCGAAAGTGTCGGCGCGCGCGCACCTGGAGCGGATCCCGCCTGAGGCGCCATCGCCGACGATCGAGCGGCATGCGGCGGCGGTGCCGACGCCGCCGCGGCGCGTCATGCTGGCGGAGGAGCGAATGGCCCGTGCTCTGTACGAGGCACGCGTGTGGGAGCTGTGTGCGGACTATGGACTGGCCTCGCCGCGGCAGCTCGTGCCGTTCCTGCTTCCCGTGGGCGGCGACGTGGACCGGTGCCGCCGGCGCATCGAGCGGCACATGCGGCAGCTGGCGCAGCGGTATGAGATGGACGTGGCTACCGTGATCGAGCTGCTGGAGGCGCAGCATGGCGACCTCAAGCAGCTGACCACGGTGCTGGATATACAGCGGCGCGGGCGCACGCGGCGCCAGAGTCGCGCACTGTCGGCGTCTACGTAGGCGGCGGCAGCGCCGTCGGCGTAGATCCCAGGCGAACGAGCAAAGCTAATGTGAATCGCCACCACGTACCTTTCCACAAGCTGAACCGGCCAAGCGGCACGGGCCGCTCCGCAGCGGGGTGGACATGCTCGCCCGTCGAGTAGGCGCGGCGCGGCGCGCGCTCCGCAAAGCTGGCGCGGCGTTGCCCCCCGACGGACTGGGGCTCCAGGCCCAGGGCGTGGCGCCGCTTGGCACGCAGGTGCAGTCCGAGCTTGAGCAGCGCGAGCCCATCGGGCTGGGTCAGTCAGGCATACGTACCGTGTCGTGACGGCCGACGATCGCCGACGGCGGCGGCATCTCGTCCTCGAGGTCAGCGGGGCCATACGACCCAAGGTCCGTCCACCGCGTGCCGGATGCGTGGATGTCGCCACAGTCTGTCAGCAGGCCTTCCGCCGCGGCCTTATCGAGTATGCGCCGCGCGCGCCGCATGAGCTTGGCTCGCTGCTTGGTCACGCGCTTCGTCTCGGCATGGAACTTGGTATCCCAGATGGTATGGCCACGGCGGAAACGCTCGTACGCCGCCGCGTGGACAGTGCCCAGCCATGCAGGCGCCAGCTGCAGCGCTGGTATCTCGGTCGCCGGCTCCATCGGGCGCACGTGGCCCTCGCGCCCGACGCGCTCGCGGATCATATGGTCCTCGTAGCCGGGGCGCTGCAGCGGCACCTTGCCCGAGTACTCGTACTTGCCGACGGGCGCGCTGCCGTACGAAGCGGCCATCTTGCCGCTCTCGGCGAGCGGTGCGCCGGTCACCATCTTGATGAACGACGCCATACCGCGCAGGGCGAGACGCGCGGCCGTCGTGTACAGGAACATGGGGAACACATGGCACTGGTCGTCGAACACCTGGAGGTGCACGTACGTCGGCACATTTTTGTAGCGCGCGGCCGTCTCGCGCGAGCGCGGGAAGCGGTTGAGTAGTGTTTCGTTGAGTGGGTACTTTGCGGGATGTGCGGCCTTGTGCGCCAGGTACACCACCTCGTCGCGCAGGACTTCGCCGTCGCCCGCGACGATGAACAGCGGCGGCAGCCCGCCGAGGCTGCCTGCGAGCACGGGCGAGCACAGGGGATGCAGCAGCTGCGCGTTCGTCGCGTACATCTGGATCTGCGGCTCGATCACCTGCGCCGTGCCGTCGGGCTGCCACACGTGCAGCGGCTGCTGGTGTGCCGGCAGCGTGTTGGCGGACCGCATCTCGGCCTGCTTTCGGGCGGCGAACGGGCGCCGGCTCTTTTTCTTCGCAAAGCGCCCTGCGTCCTGAGGCACAGGCCACAGCAAACTCGGCTTGTGCAGGAAACTGTACGGCGGAATGTAGTCGGTCTTTGTGTTTTGCAGAATGGACGGGAACGAGTGCGTCAGGTCGCTCCAGGGCGAGAGGAGGACACCACCCGCCGGCATCGGCAGCGACAGGTCGCGGAGGAGCTGCAGCAATGCAACGGCGAGGCCGCCGCCCGCACTATCGCCGGCCACGACAATGCGCGACGAGTCGATGGGCGGGTGTAGCGCGCCGGGGGGCGGCCGGATCAGGTACAGGTACGCCGCGAGGCAGTCCTGGATGGCGCAGGGGAACGGGAACTGCGGCGCCTTGCGGTAGTTCACAGCGAGCGTAAACCCGCCAAACTTGGTCGAGGCGCGGTGGATCGCATACTTGTGGGTATTGATCGAGCCAAAATAGTATGCACCGCCGTGGATGTACAGCATGATGCGCTCCAGGCGCCGCGACTCTTCGTGGGTATCGGCGAAGCGCCCTGCATGCCGCGACGCATTCGGATTGACGTCGGCTGGATGCTCGTGCCGCGGATTGACACGCGTCGAGTGCCGCGTCATGTGGTGAAGGACCGACGTCGAGAGGCTCGGGTTGCGCCCGTTCTTTTCCATGAACGAGTGGTAGTCAGAATAGTGCGAGATCCACTCGGCTGGGATGCCCGGCTGGCTGCGCATCTGCCACCAGCGCGAGCCGCCGATGAACGACTGCATCATCTCGGGCCCAAAATACTCGTGCAGCAGGTCGGCAGCCTCATGGCAGCACTCGAGGGGAATCATGACCTGCTCGTCATAGCACCTTGGCGGGTTCGGCACCGACTGGTCCGTTCTGGTGTGAGCGGGCGCTACGCACAGTTTCTGCACCTCCTCAATCGTATGTTGCGTCAGGTACTCGGTCAACCGCTTGATCATGTGGAAGATTCTGCGTGAGTGCGCGGCACGCACTGATCATAGAAGAAGTCGTTGGCCGACTCGCGCGGAGAGCGCTCGCCCAGCTCCAGGAAGAAGCGCACATAGTGCCGGAACGCATTCTGCTGTCAGCTTCGCAGCGTACCTTGACCAGCGTGGGTGTCACATTCCACAAGATGCCCGGCGTCGTGATCGTCATGGCGCTCGTGCGCGGCGCCCAAGCCTACCGGAGCGACCAGGCGGCGGAGCCACGGCCGCCTCGCGCGGCGTCGAATTTCCGTCACGTGATAACACGTGGAGCGTCGGTGGGCCCCTGTGACGCCGCATGCTCGCAGACCAGGCCCTCCTTGTTCTATCGGCCGCTGGCACGTTTTTCGCCTGCTGGCTCCTTGCGCGCATTGTCACAGGATACCTAGCCCAGCTACACCCTATTTTTGCCGAGCTGCACTCGGACTTTTCTATCATGGATACCTCGGTCGTCGTTACGTTCTGCCTCGGGCTGCTGTGTACGCTGACGGTCATGTACTTTTTGGGCCTCTTTGGTGCGCGCGTCTCGAAGAGCGCACTGAGTCGGGACGAGTGGCGCTCGTTCAAGCTAATTAGGCACACGCCTGTGTCCAAGTCCACGAGCGTGCTCGAGTTTCAGATTCCCGGCCAGCTGGGCCTGCCGATCGGCCAGCACGTCTCGGTGCGCGCGCCGCTGAACGGGCGCATGGTCATGCGCTCGTATACGCCCATCTCTGACGTGGACACGGTCGGCACAGTGAAGCTCCTCGTCAAGTCGTACCCGACAGGCAACCTCTCGCGTGTGCTGGGCGCGCTGCAGGTCGGCGAGTCGGTCGAGATGAAGGGCCCCAAGGGCAAGTTCCTGTACCAGCGCAACATGACGGAACGCATCGGCATGCTCGCTGGTGGTACGGGCATCACGCCCTGCTTCCAGGTGCTCAAGGCCGCGCTCAAGGACGAAAAAGACCAGACTCGCTTCGACCTGCTGTACGCCAACGTGTCGGAGGACGAGATCCTGCTCAAGGACGAGCTGGACACGCTCATGCGCGAGCACCCCCTGCGCTTCCGTGTGCGATACTTCCTCAACTTCCCGCCGCCCGGCTGGGACGGCGGCGTCGGCTTTATCACGCGCGATGCCATCGCCGACTTTCTGCCGCCCGCCACGCTCGACTGCCGCGTGCTCATGTGTGGCCCGCCGCCGATGGTCGAGGCGATGAAGCGGCATCTCGTGCAGCTGCAGTTCCCCGAGCCGCGTCCGCTGAGCCAGGCGGACGACAAGGTGTTTGTCTTTTAGTCTATAGTTAAGCACCGTGCTGCACGGCCTCCGCCAGGTGCTGCTGGAACAGGCGCTCGGCGCGTGTCCACACAGCGCCCTTGCCCTCCTCGCTGGCGTGCTTCTGCGCCTCCTCGCCCGCCACGCCGGTGACGAGCGGCAGCTGCAGGAGCGATGGCAGCAGGTCGTTGGAGAACGCCTCGGACGCCTCGCGCGGGAGCAGCGTCGGCAGGTGGTCAATCGAGATGACCTCGAGCCGATCAAAGCCGTCCACACGCACAGTGGGCCGCTCGAACGTCGTGTTGATCGAGTACACGGGAATCGGGTTGTTCGGGTTCGTCGTGTCACAGCTCACATCGACAATCATGCCGAGGCGGCGGCTCTCACCGGCGCGCTCGAGCGACGCGCGGTCCAGGAACGGAGGAATCTTCTTCGACAGGTAGATGCAGTTGATGAACAGGTCCGAGTCGATGATCTCCTGGTACGGGCCGCTCTTGGCGCTCGTCTCTTGTATGTCCCAGCGCTGGATCTCGTCCGGCTGCAGCCCGCTCTTCTCGAGGCAGTCGATCGCGCCGCGGCCACAGCGGCCCAGCGCTCCGATCACCAGCGCCGTGACGCGCTTGTCGGCGCGGTGCGCACGCAGCACCTGCACGGCCTCGCGCGTGTGCGCCATGAGCGCGTCTTCGTTCGGGTAGTGCGTCTGCGCCCCGAGCTGGCGGCCCTGCACCTGCTCGGCGAGCGCGAGCAGGCCAAGCGCCGCGCCGGCAAAGCCGGCATGCCAGCCAAACGCGGCCACGCGGCGGCCCTGCGCATCTTCGAGGAACTCGAGGTCATACAGCTTGCCGCCGCCGCGGTGGAAGCGGCCCAGCACGTCCGCCCAGCCCTCCTGGTGCTTGTAGCAATGCGCAAACTGGATGTGCGTGTGCTCCAGATCCGGGCCCGGCGTATCGAGCTCCTTCAAGCCAATGATCGGCGTCGTCTTGGGCGCCGAGGGCCACGAGTGGTGCGGCGCCATGTGGCACCCGACCTGCTCGAACTCGGCGTCGTCAAAGATGCGCTGCGGATCGCGCTCGACGGTGATGTCAAAGCCTGCATCAATCAGCTTCTTCGCCGTGGTCGGCGTCAGTGCCGAGCGGTGCTCGGCGGGCTTCGTCTCGCAGCGAAGCCACAAAGGCTGGGTCTGGGCCATAGCGTCGTAGTCTACGTGAAAGCCGCGCGCCACGGGCTGGGCGAGTCACGCTGAGTCAGCTACGGAAAGAGGCCCCAGTCCTCGATGCGCAGCGACGCGGCGGCCGCGCGGAACTGCGCGGCCGTGGCGCGGCCCGCGGGGTCGTTGAGCGAGAGCACGAGATCGACATTCTTCGCCGGCAAGCGCCATAGTGCCACGTAGATGGTGACCTGCTCTTCCTGCGCGTGCTTCCCAAACTTGGGCACGGTCTGGCGGCCGTGCGCCGTGGCTGGCGCCGGCGTCTCGCCCGCGCGCGCCGCGCCGTCGACTGCATCGGCCGCATCAACGACAGAGAACACGGCACTGTTGTCGTGCGCAAGCGAGTCAAAGTGGTAGCGCACGCCCTGCTCCATCGCACGCGCGTCCGTCTCGGGCGCCACACACTGCAGCACCTCGAGAATCACACTCACGTCCGAGTCGCGCGCCAGGAGCACCTCTTGGTTATCAGGCACTTGGCGCACGAGACTCGCATCCAGGTACTCGCCGTCGAGCGTGAGCGAAATGGCGCCGCCAAACAGCGGATGCACCGTCATGGCGCCTGGACGGGCGCCGCTCGCCTCCACCCACTCATGCCCTCCGCCGCGCCGCGCGCAACGTGGCGCTCGCGCGCCCTGGCCGCAGCGACGACTGTGCAGACGGGCACGGCAGCCACGATTGGTGCGATGCTCGTGACGCACCTCGCCGCGCCCGTAGTCGCGGCCGTTGCGGGCCCCGCGGCCGTGGACATGGCGAACCAGACGATGCTGCTCGGGCGTGTGTACTACCAGCACGCCTTTGTCGAGCCTGTGCTCGTGTGGGGTGCGCTATCGGCGCATGTTATCGCCTCGCTCGTGCGCCGCGCCCTTCTGCCTGGCCGCCAGCTGCGCTCGCCGAAGCACTGGACGTGGCGCACATGGCACAATGCGGCGGGCCTCGCGCTCGTGCCGGTGCTTCTGGTGCATGTGCTGACGAACCGCCTTGCGCCTGCGTCCGCGCACCCGGCGATCGCCGAGCTCTCGCCGTCGGAGCTTGATCTGTCGTATGTGGCCTGGGGCTTTGCGCACGCGCCCCGCCTCAGCACGGTGCTCTACACCTGGCTCTGCCTCACGGGGGCGGTGCATGCTGTAGGCGGCTTGCCCAAGATGGCCGAGCGCATCGGCCGGCCCAAGCGCGCAAGGCCCATGATGGGCGCGGCCTTCGTGGTCGCTGGCCTCCTGCTCCTAGGCACATGGCGCATCGCGCGCGACGGCATCGCAGGCCTCGCTCAGCCTATGCAGGCGCGCTTTGGTGCCAGCTATCGCAGTGTGTGGCCATGGTCCTGGGGTATCGCATCCACTATGTAGTCGTGGCACCGGCCCGCAGCTGAACGAGACGCTGCCACATGTCATCGTTCAGTGCCTTGGCGTGTTGGACTTGCGCCTCCAGCGCCGACACCTGCGCACGGAGGGCCGCTACGTCGCCAGGCGACGCCGTGCTGGCCAGCGGCGCACTGTCGGCGAGAGCCTCGGCACCAGCACGGACGGCTGGCACGGCGGGTGCGGTGCCCTGTCCCGCGCTCAGCCAGCGCTGCACACTCGCCGCCGACGACGCAGCGCCCGCGCCGACTCGAAGGAGCATGTGCGGCGCATGGAGCGGTGGCTGGATCGTACGCGCCAGCTGCGTCGCCACAGCACGCAGCGGCAGCGCCTGCACGTACGCACTGCTAGAGGTGCCCGCATCCTGCCGCGCATGGCGCTTGGCGCCTTGCCATGGCAGGTGGCCCATCAGGTCGATGGGACGCACGAGGGTGCCAATGTACGTCACTGGCGTCGGCGCCGCGGCCTTCGCAAGACTCGCACCGGCCTGGAGCACACGCACGGTCTGCAGCGTCAGCACGTCCACAAGGTAGATGGCGCCGGAGCGCGTGCCGAGCGCTGCATGCGACGAGGCATGCGAGAGCGCGAGAGCTGTGACCGAATCGGGCACCGACACGCGCGGCGCATCCGACACAGGAGTGCTGTGGCCCGCAGCGCCGCCGCCGCCGCGCGCCGCGCCGCCCTGCGGCTCGTACAGCTCCACGCGGCGAACGCCCTGCTCCGCGTTCACAAGGAGGAAGCGCTCGAGCGGGTCGAGCGCGAGGTGCCGCACAGGCTCGTCGACGACAAACGTGCTGACAAGGCGGCGCGCGCTCAGATCCCACAGCTTGACGGTGCCATCGAGGCTTGCGCTCCAAACGCGCGCGGCGGCAGGAAAGGCGCCGGGCGCTACCGCCAAGTCTGTGACCTCGAGCGTGTGATCGGAGAAGGTGGCATACGGCGTCGGCAGTGCACCGGTGCTCGCGCCGGCCAGGTCGGTCGCGTGGAAGATGCCCGGCACACTCCAGACACACACACGCGCGTCTTCGCTGGCGGTGATGAGCGCGGCCGAGTCGGGCGTCCAGCGCAGCACCGTCACGGCGCGGTAGTGCACTTCAAGGGACGACAGGAGGGCGCCGGTGCCCACGTCCCACACGCACAGGCGGCCATCGGGGCCGCCGGCCGCCAGGTAGGTGCCGCACGGCGACAGGGCAAGGCACCGCATTTTCTGCGGCAGCACGAGGCGGGCAACCGGCTGGTCGCGCTGCCACGAATACACGCTAACGACGGCCTTGTCCGACTCCATTGCGGCGACAAGACCACTCGTGCCGGCATCGTGCGCAGCGTGTGTGGCGGACGGCACGAACGACACGCCGTGGGGGGCTGCGTGGGTGGTGCCCTTCAGGTGCAGGAGGGGCGTCTGCGACGACGACGCTGGGTCCAATACATAGAGCGCGCCGCGCTGCGACGACGACGACGAGGCAGTGAGGAGGACCTCTTGCGGATACAAGGCCGCGACGCGGCGCATGGTCGCCATCGCGAGGAAAAGACGGTCGGCGGGTGGGTATCACGTGCACGAAGACGAAATTCTGCTCGAGTCACGGTGCTACGCTTTTCACGTCCATGTGTGGGATTGTCGGGTGCATTCACCACCCGAATGCGCAGGCCTATCGGGCCAAGATGCTCAACATGTCGCGCTCGATCCGCCACCGTGGTCCGGACTGGTCCGGCTGCGTTGTGGTGGGCGAGAACGACCCGAAGCGCCAGACCCGTGGCAGTGTGCTGTGCCACGAGCGTCTGGCGATCGTTGGCGTGGACTCGGGGGCCCAGCCACTCGTGAGTGAGGACAAGAAGCTGTACCTTGCGGTCAATGGTGAGATCTATAACTTCCGCCAGCTGCGTGCCTCGCTCAAGGACAAGGTGCACTTCCAGACCGAGTCGGACTGCGAGGTCATCATGTACCTGTATCGCGAGCACGGCCCTGACTTTGTCAACATGCTCGATGGCATGTTTGCGTTCGTGCTCATCGACACGAGTGTGCACCCTCACCATGTGATCGCGGCGCGCGACCCGATCGGTATCACGACACTGTACTACGGCCGCTCGTTCGAGTACCCTGGCGCCATTTACTTCGCTAGTGAGATGAAGGCGATTTCGAGCGAGTGCGAGCGCCTGCACTCGTTCCCCCCGGGCCATTACTACGACAGCCAGCGCCCCACCGGCCAGGAAATTGTGCGTTACTTCCAGCCGTCGTGGATGTCGTCGGACCAGCCGGGCCACCTTCCGACGACGCCCGCGGACCTCTCGCTGATCCGCACGACGCTGGAGAAGGCCGTGCGCAAGCGCCTCATGAGTGAGGTCGCGTACGGTGTGCTGCTCAGTGGCGGTCTCGACTCGTCGCTCATTGCCGCGATCGCTGCACGCGAGACGGAGAAGCAGGCGCTCGCGCAGCAGCAGGCGGCGCTCGCACACCAGCCGCGCGGCAAGGTGCGCCGCACGGACGCTGCCGCGGATGCGACTGAGGGCGGTGCCGACGCGCCGCTCGTCGCATGGCCGCGCCTGCACTCGTTCTCCATTGGCCTGCCCGGCTCACCCGACCTGCTCGCGGCGCGCCAGGCGGCCGAGTTCCTCGGAACGATCCACCACGAGTACACTTTCACGGTCCAAGAGGGCCTGGACGCGCTCTCGGACGTGATCTACCACCTGGAGACGTTCGATGTGACGACGGTGCGTGCGTCGACGCCCATGTACCTACTGTCGCGCAAGATCAAGGCTACGGGTGTCAAGATGGTACTCTCCGGCGAGGGCTCCGACGAGGTGTTTGGCGGCTACCTCTACTTCCACGCGGCTCCCGACAAGGAGGCGTTCCACCACGAGTCGGTGGCGCGCGTGAAGAACCTGCACACGGCCGACTGTCTGCGTGCGAACAAGAGCACGATGGCGTGGGGTCTCGAGGCGCGTGTGCCGTTCCTGGACAAGGCGTTCCTGGACGTGTGCATGAACGTGGATCCCGAGCAGAAGATGTTCTCCAAGGGCAGCCTGCAGACGAAGGATGCGGACGGCCGGCCCCACATGGAGAAGTACATCCTGCGCAAGGCCTTTGACGTGCACCCTGATGATGTTGAGGCCGGCGCACCTGTCGAGGGAAGTCGTCCGTACCTTCCCGACAGCATCCTGTGGCGCCAGAAGGAGCAGTTTAGCGATGGCGTTGGCTACTCGTGGATTGATGGCATGAAGGAGCATGCCGAGCAGGTCGTCTCAGACGACAAGTTTGCGGAGCGCGCGAGTCGCTATCCGCTCGAGACGCCCGACACCAAGGAGGCCTACATGATCCGCGAGATGTTCGAGGCGTGGTTTCCCTCGGACGCGGCTGCCAAGACAGCTGTCCGCTGGGTGCCGCGCGGCGACTGGGGCTGTGCAAGGTACGTGCATACAACTCACAGACAGCGACCCGTCCGGCCGTAGCGTCGCCATCCACGACGCCGCTTACGAAGACGCTTGATGCTGCTCCGCAGCCTGCGTCAGCAGCTTCCACTCTTCTTCGATGCGCTCACGCGCGCGAACCACCTTGGACTGCACATAGAAAGAGCCGCGGCCGCCGCCCTCCTTGCCCTTTGGCGCGGGCGGCGCATTGATCTCGAAAAGGCGCTCGTAGTGCTCTACGAGCTCGTTCCGCACCTCGTCCTTGATGCCGTGGCGGTTCGCAGCAAGCGATACATCGCCTTTTAGGTTCAGAATGAGGCGCGCCTCATCCAGCGTCATGCGATGCGCCCGGGTCAGTGCATCGCTAGGGGAGGCAGTCTTGCCGCCCGCCGCGGCCGCCGCGCCACTTGCCTCAACCTGGCCGGCACGCACATCTGCCGTAAGCCCAGTCATGGTACATACTTCGCACGGCCTGCCGTCCGGCCTCCATAAACGCCCGACCCAAGATACGACTGCCTGTAAAGGCGATCTGCGCAAGAATACGCGGAAGCGACTGGATCGGTCAGCATCTATAGCGCCTGCGCGCCACACGCACCATGGTCGGCGGAGGACGTGGCCGGCGCCGTCGCCAGCTTTCTATCACGTGAGACGAAGCCGCCCAGGCCAGCCGTGCGCTCGGCGACCGACGGTCAAGCGCGATGGACGCCTTTGACTCGGGCACGGACCTGAGCGGCGCGGGCGCGGGCGAGCCTGCGCGCACCGAGTCGCGGGCGCCTGCATCGGTGTCCGCAGCTGCGCCGCCGCCGGCCGACGACACAACGCAGGCGCCGCGCGCCAAACGTCCACGCACGTCGCTGCCGCCATCCGAAGCGGAGAAGGCTGCCGACGCGGAAGGCACGCGGCCTCGCGCGGACGACTCCGTGGAGACGGTGCGCTCGCGAGCGCGTGTGCCTGTGCCGAACCCGTCCAAGGAGGCGAGCTTCGGCCGCAATATGAGTGGCTGGGACCAGCTGTTTGGCGGCATTCCTACGGCGGCGCCGACCGAGTCCGTGCGGCCCAAAGATATAACGCCTGAGCAAAAGGCTGCGGCAGCCGAGGCCGAGGCCCTCAAGGTGCGCGAGGCGCGCGCAAAAGAGGCACAGGAGCGCGCCAAGGAGAAGGAGGAGCGTGCGAAGGAGGCCATTGACCGCGCCAAGGAGAAAGAGCGCGAGACAGCCGCGATGGCGCGCGAGGCACGCGAGGCGCGCGAGGCACGCACGCGCGCAGCCGCGGCGTCCGCTCCCCCTCCAGAGCGGCGAGCGCTGTCGGTCACTGCCGAGGCGCTGAATGAAAAGCGGCGTCAACTGCAGCGCGAGATTGAGAATCCCCAGGCAATGGATCTGCTTGCGAATGGCCGCATTATGTTTTCGTTTGAGGAGGAGCTTGGCAGCGACCGTCGCTCGCTGCGCGCCTCCAAGTTCGGGGCTGGCTTGCATCACCTACGTGCCACCTGAGGGTATGGGCTGCAGCTCGCGCACGAGCGCCTGCGACGCGGCATTCTGCTCGAGCAAATTGCGCAGAGCGAAGACAGCGTGCTCCCGGATATCTTAGACAGCGTTAGCGTGCTCTGCACGTACATGGATTCAGTTCGTCCAACGCGGTGAGGGACAGCACGTCGATGAGTCCGCCCAGCTCACGAACGTGATCCTGCACGTCGCGTACAGCGGCGCGGTCGTGAGGCCCCGCAGGGAACGACAGTGTGCCAAGGAGCTGGAGTGCACTGCGTTTCAGGTGCGGCAAGCCGGGTCGGTCATCGTCGGGCACGCTCGTGTGCAGCGCGGACTTGGCATGGCCGTCCGGCACACTGGCGCCCGAGGGCGCGAATGGCGCCTTCGGCGGGTAGAACGAGCGCGCCTGGCGTAGCAGCTCGATGGTGGCGCCCAGCACCGCCGGCTCGCGCAGCAAGGGCAGTAGAGCAGCCGCCTCTGTCGTCCGCGCGGCTGACGCGTCTTGGTGCGCGCGCAGACCTGCCCAGTGCAGACACTCGAACAGCGCGAGTAGCCCCATATAGGCGCGGACAAGACCCTGCGCCTCGGCCCCTTCGTTCGCGACCTGATGCATAGCGTTTGTCGCGTACTGCGACAAAGCCATGACCCGATCGATCAGCGGGCGGATATTGGCGACCCACGGCGCATCGACCTGCTCGGCCGTGGGCGTCTGTACGTGCTGGTGTAGGCACTCGATGAGGACACGAAGCAGCGTGAGCTGCGCAGGATGGATATCATCATCCGTGCCCAGTGCATCGAGCAGGGGCCCAATCAAACCCGCCCCGAATAGACGGTCCACCAATGCGATGCTGCGGTCAGTCAAGTATGCATACGTGATAGGAATCGTCTCGGACGTCTCTTCGTACAAGGCAGCTTCGTACAAATGCAAAACGACCTCCATCGCCCGCCGCGCAGGCTTGGTGTGCACGAGATCGCGCAGCCTGGCGTCGCCGGGTGGCACGCAGTTGAGCAGGAACACCTGGGCCGCTAGCGATGTGCGCTCATCTGGACTCGATAGGAGGCGTCTGGATTAGTCGCGGCACGTACAGGATGGCATCGGCCCACGGCTGTGTCCCCTCCGCCGTGACATGTGCGGCCCAGAGCATGCTGCGTGTATCAGGGGCGCTCGTCACCCCATTTACGAGGCACTGCGCCAGCACACGAATGGGCACCAATACTAGAACGTCAGTGCGCACAACGTACATAGCGGATCAGACATACGCTCAAACGCGAGGAGCGTCTGCATCCACCGCTGGACGTCTCTGCCATGCGTGCTGCGTGAGTGGCATGGCGTACCCTATCATTTGTGCATGCCGCGGATCTACAGCGCTATTTCGCACGAGTCCCAGCGCTGCGCGCGCCACGTCGGCCCATGTAGCGCGCTCCTTGCGCTTCTGCGGGTCGACCTGCGCTTCATACGCAGTCCACGCGTCAAGCACAGCACGCACATGCAGCCACAGGTCGGCAGGGCTGAGGGCATCGCGCGCTTCCTCCGAGCCAGCCAGTGTTTTCGCATACATTGTCGCCTCGTTCACATAGCACTGGGCGGCGTGCGCGGACTCCGGGGCGGCGCGCCATGCATTCCACGACGCTGCCACACCCTCCATTTAGCGATCTGGAAAAACTCGTTAGTTTGCGCCGCCCGACAGTGCCTCCACACACGGACGGGCTTTATCTGACCGTCGCCTTTTGACTCGATGGGTCAACAAGTGGGCCGTGAGGCAGACGCTGGTGCGGCGCCCCGGTTCCGCCATGTCATCGAGCGCAGCCAAGAATTATCCAATATGCGCCTCACCAGGGATTCGCCCCTTCTACAGACGAAGGCACAGCTGTCACGGCGTTCTGAGGAGCCGGCAGCAGATCGGATCTCGTCCAAAACGCGCGTCGATGACGGCTATGTCGTGCGACAGGGCATCTACGCTGCCCGTTCTGACTATGACGACCAGACAGTGCGCAAACTCATTGTCGAGCGCAAGTTGAGCCCCTTTTTTCCCGGCGCAGAGGACGAGGACGACCTCCCCGTGACGAGCGTTCGATCGGAATGTCCGATCTGCTTCCTGGTACGTCGGCCGCTCTGACGCAGTACTTTCCTACGGCATTAAACCATGCGCGATGCTGCTTGCAGCCCATATGCACTGAGTGCTTTGTACAGATCCAACGGGTTGACCCAGCCACGCATGTTCCCCCTACCTCCCAGCCGGCCGCGTGCCCCTTTTGTGTGACGTCAGATTTCGGGGTTGTATACCAGCCATCCAAGCAGGGCACTGGGATGGATGCACAAGCAGCGATTGAGCATGCCGCGACGGCGATCGGCACGGGTGGCGCGCAGGCGCAGGGCCGTGCGTCGTTTGCGGCCGACGATCCTCGTGTGGTGCTAGTTGGTACGTGCACCGCCACACTGACCCAGACCACATTCACTCGAACTGGAAGGACAAGCTAGAAAAGGCCCTGCAAAATACGGCACGCACGGAAAACCGCCGCGTCATTATGCGACAGGATGGCGACTCGCTCATTCCTATCGGCGTCTCTTCGTCCCACACCGGCGACGCACTGGCATCGTTTGTGGAGCAAAATTCACACCTGGGCCACAACGGGCCTGGAGGCAGCATTGTGCTCCATGGATATGTCTTTGAGCAGGAACTGCAGCGGCACATTCAGCAGCAAATGTCTCCGCTGCAACGTACGCGGCGCTCTATGGACCGGACCAGAGCGCTGCATTTGGCGCCAGAAGAATTGGACGAGATTCTTTTGCGCGAGACGTTGAGGCGCAGCCGAATGGAGCACCAAGAGGAGCAGCGGCGCCACAGCATGAATGAGGCGCGCCCCGAGTCTCGCACGGGTCAGCCGCGCCGCCTGTCGCTACTCCCCCGCCGTCTCGCCAATGGGGCGGCGATGAAACTCAAGGGCAGCCGGTCCGAGGCCGACGACGGTCCCAAGACAAGTGCGCCCGGCTCTCATGCCGAAACGCACACTCCTGCAGCGTCGAGTGCCAGCACCTCCGTATCGGGAGGGCGATCGACTCCGACGGCCACTACGGACCGGGCCACGCCAGCCCCTGATTCCAGTGCCGTGCCGGCCGTGGCAGCGCCCGCAGCCGCCCCGCAAACACCACCGCAGCTATTGACCAATGCAACACCTCACCGCTCGTCTGTAAACACACCTAGGGACCATTCTCTGGCAGAGCACCTACCAGCTGCATCCCAGGCATCCGAGGCTTCGATCCCCCCACGAGGGCTGACACGTTCCGAGTCTATCGCCGGCGGACAAGGCGCGTCGGGCCTCACCGAGCCTACGCAGTCCTCGGCTGCCTTGGGTATGAAAGCCTGGGGCCATATGGATCGGTCTCCCGGCGAGATCCCTGTCACCCCACGCAGTCGCATGTCGACCCCCGTGCTGAACTGGGTGCCCCCGGATGGATCGCGGTCATCTATGTCGTACTCCCATCCCTCGACCCCCGTTGTACCATCGCCGCGGGTGCGCTATGCCCTCGCGAGAGACGCTGCATCCAACTCGCCGGCGGGCACGACCACGAACCCCTTTCGAGCTCGGGCCGCCTACGTCGAAACGCAGGGCCTCTAGGCGTGCCTCGGCCGGCACGTGGCCGCCCGGGCTATGCATAGCACACACCTCCATAGACCAAGTCACGTCCTGTTCGCAGTTTTTGCATTGTGTACACTCGCTTCCGCTAGGGTGGCACTTCCAGTAACCTTTCAGGCGTAACGTCGGGTGGTCGACTCTTTGCCTGCGTGTGCGGTGTTCGCAACAGACTTCTCATTGTTTACGGACGCCAGCTGGTTCCTCTCTTCCCAATATGCAGACGATCAAGTGTGTCGTCGTAGGCGATGGTGCGGTCGGCAAGGTAGGCGAGTGTTCACTAACGGCAGACATGCCTGCTTATTTCGTATACGACTAACAAGTTCCCGTCGGAATATGTGCCTACGGTATGCCACCCACGCTAACCACTCAGGTCTTTGACAACTATGCTGTGACGGTGATGATTGGCGAAGACCCATACACGCTAGGTCTCTTTGACACGGCGGGTCAGGAAGACTACGACCGCCTGCGTCCGCTCTCGTACCCCCAGACCGACGTATTCCTTGTGTGCTTCTCCGTGACGTCGCCGGCCTCGTACGAAAACGTGCGCGAAAAGTGGTTCCCTGAAGTGCACCACCACTGCCCTGGCGTGCCATCGCTTATCGTGGGCACCCAGGTGGATTTGCGTGATGATCCCGCTGTCATCGAGAAGCTTGCTCGGCAGAAGCTGCGTCCCATCACGGCCGAGATGGGCGAGCGCCTCGCCCGCGAGCTTGGCGCCGTCAAATACGTGGAGTGCTCGGCTCTCACGCAGAAGGGCTTGAAGAACGTCTTTGATGAGGTACGTACAGGCTACATTGACCCATGCAGGCCATTGTGGCTGCTCTGGAGCCGCCCGTGGTTCGGAAAAAGGTAGGTGCCTTTGTCTCACGCCAGTCGAAATGCGCGATTCTCTAAGGCCTAATGACGATTATGCCCATGCATCACCTACCTCATGTATCATCTTATGTCAGGCGTGTGGTTTGCATAATGCCTCATAGACATCCAGCATGTATAATTGCATGTCCTCACTGCCGTCGGCGCACGGTCAGTCCCACCTCAGCGCGGCGGCGGACGCCGAGTGCCTGTCGGCCGAAGGACGCCAAGGGCCGATCTGGCGCTGCGTCGCAGTGCTTCCCCACATGCGTGCGCTGTCGGCCCGACAGCAGGGGCGCCTCGTTGCCTATCTCGATGAGGAGCTCCTTCGTATCATGCGTGGATACCAGAAGCGGTACGTATGGATCCATTGATACGTAGGCATGAGCCAAGAGGTACTCTGCGTACGCTGCCGGCCTACTTAGACCAGTGGGGTCCGTGCGTCCAAGTCACAGCCTCTACCCCCCTGCAAGGCCCCGTCGCTGCGATCCACGACGCGTACCTGCTGCGGATTACTAGTGAGCTATCGGAGGGTATCACGGGCTATTCTACCGCGGCCACTGACGACTTTCCACAGGATGTACAGCTCATGTACGTACTGTACTGGATGGACGTGTTGGACCAGCTGTGGGTCGCGCGCCTCGAGCAGCGCGTCACGGAGCTAGACAGGGTCAAAGAGGGTGCTTGTGCTCATTTCCCTACGCCTGACAAGGCGGACCAGGTCGCCGCTGCGCTGCAGACGAGCGCTGCGGTGTCCTCATCGGAGGCCTGGCAGGCCGGACCGAGCGACAAGTCTGTGCCTCCGTATGGAACGACGGACCGCATCCGGCTACGGGACGAGATGTGCAATGCGAGGGAACGGCTGTTTGCGTGGATGCGTTCGCAGAAAGGCCTAGCGCCGCCACCCACGACCGTGGATCCCTGGCCCAGCACACACCCTACCTTGGAGTCCAGCGCGGACGCCGAGGAGAGGGAGGCGCGCCTCGAAGCTGAGGAAGAGGAAGAGGCGGAAACTTGGGCCGCTGAGCACCTTGCGCCCCCGGCGTCCGACGAGGACCGTGCAGAAGCGCGGGCGGGGGATGACCACTACGCCAAACTGTTCGACCGAACGCTCGATCCAGATGCGTCGGACGAGGAGCCACCTGTCAAGCGGACGAAGCGCTCCGGCGATACAGATGGCACGGAGATGGCCTTTTGGGACCAGCACTTTGCGTCGCTGTTTGCGCGGTCCTTACATCATCTTACACAGACACCCATGTAGACTAGTCGCCCATCGTATGTACATGATCAATCGTCCCGCTGCCCACACAGAGGTCGCCCTCGTACACGACGACGGTTTGGCCTGGCGACACGGCCGTGATGCCGTGCTCAAACGTGACTTGGACGCCGCCGTCCGCGAGGGGCGTCACACGGCACGGCTCGGCGTCCTGGCGGTAGCGGATCTGTGCGTGGAGCGTGGCATCCCAGCGCGGCAAGTCGCGGGCCCATACGAACGTGTGCGAATGCAGGAACACGCACTGGAGAAGCGGATGTGTCTTGTCCGGCACCACAACGATGCGGCGCTGCGCCGCCTCCTTTTTCGCGACAAAGAAGCGCTGGGGCGCACTGGGTATGCGGGCGCGCTGGCCAATAGTCAGGGTATGTAGGCCGGAGTGGCGGCCGACGACGCGGCCGTCCGGAGTGACAAAGTCGCCCGGCTCGCTTGTGACGTAGTTATCGAGGAACCGGGCAAATGCATGGGCGCTGCTGCCGCGCTCGCCGACAAAGCAGAGGCCCATACTCTCATCCTTGTCGGCCGTCGGCAGGCCCATCTGGTGGGCGAGGCGCCGCACGTCGGCTTTCAGGTACGTTCCGAGCGGGAAGAGCGTCTGGCGTCAGATCGAGAGCGCACCTGTGTCAGGCGGTCGGACGGCACCGACGAAAGAAAAAATGACTGGTCCTTGAGGCGGTCGACGGCACGCCGCACAAGCGGGTATGCCCGGCCCTCGGCGTCGCGGCGCCAGGCGACGCGCGCATAGTGCCCCGTGGCGAGCCAGCCCGAGTGCTTCGCGGCCAGGCGGTCGCGGAGCGCGCCGAACTTGATGGACCTGTGTCAGCGAGCCGACCTACCTGTTGCACTCCACGTCGGGGTTGGGTGTGGAGCCATCGTGCCACAGCTCCAGCGCCGGCTCAAACACGGTGAGCCAGTACTCGCGCGATAGGTCCACCATCTCCACGGGCATGTTGCCGAGGTGGCGGCACACCGCCTGCACGTCGTTCCACTCGCGCTGCCAGTCGCATCCCATAGCGCCGCCGCTCCCTGCGCGCATCGAGCCGCGCTCGTCGATGGTCGACCAGTTGCGCATGTACACGGCGCGCACGTCATAGTCCTGCGGTCAGCCCGACCGACGTACCTCGCGTGCGACCAGCGCCGCGGCCACCGACGAGTCGACGCCACCCGACATGGCCACAGTCACTGCGTGAGTCGTTCCAACGTACCCTTGTCACCGCGTCGGGGCGCGACGGTGCACAGGCCGCGGCGCAGCGCCCGGCCCAGGAGCATCGCGCACGTACAAGAGCAAGCGGCGAAGTATCACGTGACACGCACCACAACACACGCGTGCGCCGCCGCGAGGGCCTGGCGCGCTTTCGACACCATGAGCGCAGGGCCGGCGGCACGGCGCTTCCACGAGGCGGGCCTCGGGTCCCGCACGGGGCTGCGTATCGGCGCTGTGCAGCAGGACGCATATGGCTACGACGACCTCGATGCCTTTTTTGCCGAGTCCAAGCGTGTCCTGGAGTGGATGGCCCACTCGGACGACGAGGCGTCTGACACGGCGTCGACGCCCCGCACGGCGGACCCGGCGCCCCGCGCACGCTCGCCTGTAGAGCCAGAGGCGTCGTGGCAGCAGGATGCGCCGCGCGCGTCCGAGTGGGCCGCCCGCACGGCGGCGCCACGCAGCACGGACGCCAAAGCCCTGCTGGACGAGGCGCGCGCACGCCACTCGCTCCTCCCGCGTGCAGGCGCGGACGACTCTCTGTGGGAGTCGACCGTGGACCTGTCGCGCTCGGAGCGCACCTTTCACCTGAGCGCGCTCGCCGGCGACGTGAGTGTCGCGTCGGGCGCCGAGTCCCTCCTACGGCAGGTCGAGCGCACGCCCCTGTCGACGCTGAGCTCAGAACATACCCAGCCGAGTCCGCTGCCGCCGCCGTCGATGCCAGGCGAGAGCACACCGATGCCCGTGCAGCCGCGCGGTGCCGAGCGCCCGCGCGTATCGCACGTGCCCGACACGGATCTGCCGTCGTTTCTACGCGCGGACGCTTCTGTGCTGCCGTCTGCGCCTGCGTGGAGCCGCGCAGACTCGTCGGGCCTGCCATCTGCGCCTGCGTGGAGCCGCGCAGACTCGTCGGGCCTGCCATCCGCACCCGCGTGGAGCCGCGCAGACTCGTCGGGCCTGCCATCCGCACCCGCATGGAGCCGTGCGTCGACGCCTGCGGGTGCCTCGGAAGCGAGTGGTGCGTCAGCTGGCGCGAGTGAGTACGACGCGATGCCTGAGCTCGACATGGCGATGCCGCCCCCCGACGACGAGCCTGTGCCTGTGGAGCCGGTGCCGAAGAAGCGTGGGCGTGGGCGCCCGCGGAAAGACGCGTCGATGCCGCCGCCGCGGGGCCGGCCTGGACGGCCGCCGGGTCGGCAGATGCCGCCGCAGAAGATTGTGGAGCGGATCCACGACCCGCCGGCGTGGCAGCTGGACAACCCCCAGGGGCTGCGGCGCGGGAAGCGGCACCGCATCGCGCCGCTTGACTGGTGGCGTGGCGAGCGTGCGCTGTATGGGCGCCCGGAGGCGCCGGGCGAGGCGGATGCGCCGGCGGGCCTCGTGGCGCCGGTGCTCAAGGAGGTGATCCGCGTGCCGCGTGCGCCGGGCGAAGGCACGTTCTCGGGCATGCGGCGCTTCCGCGTGCAGCCGCCGGTGTATGTGCCGGCGGACCGGCCGCCGACGTACGCGGAGCCTGCGTACGAGAGTGACGACGAGACGGAGGACGCGTCGCGGATCGGCATGGCGCTGCGGCCGCCCGAGGAGGGGTGGGACGAGGACACGGACCCGTACGGCCGCGTGGTGGATGCGGACCAGGGCACCGAGGTCACGATGCGGATCGCGTGCACGGCCAAGGGGATCCGCCCGCGGCCCGCGTTCAACCAGAAGTTCTCGTACGAGAAGGTGTTTGGGGTCGGCGACTTTATGGCGGCGGGCGTGCTGGTGATTCCGCAGGGCGGCGAGAAGCCGACGAAGCCGAGCAAGGACAACAACTACGTGCGTACCTGCTGCTTACCCAGACGTTTGTGGTGCTGGAGGGCGCCGTGCAGGTCATGGTGCACCGCACGCGGTTCGTGATTGCGCCGGGCGGCATGTTCCTGGTCCCGAAGGGTGCGTCGCTCGTACTTACGCAGGCAATACGTACAATATCCGCAACGTCGCGCAGCGCGAGGCGCGCATCTTCTTCGCGCAGGCGCGCCATCTGGCGACGCCGCTCACGGACGTGGTGCACGATGGGCGCACGGCGTTTGCCCACGGGCCGGACCATGTGCAGGTGGAGCCGGCGCCGCCCGAGTCGCCCGGCGACGCGTCGAGTGCGACGTCGACGGACTCGGACGATGTGGATGCGTCGAGTGACTACGACGACACGCGGCCCCTGTAGTCTATGTATCCCTTTTGTGAAACAGGCGCGTCCAGCGGCGGGGCGCATGCGTCTCGCTGGGCGTGTCGGGCCGGCGCGCCGCGCCCGACTCGTCGACGGCGTCCTGCAGGCGCGCAGCGAGGGGCGGTCGGCGGCCGCTGGGCGCCCTGTCGTCGGAGCGCGGCACGGGCGACGCGGCGGCCGAGCGCGGCGGGAGCGGCGGATTCGGCGAGCTCCCGGGCGACGCAGCGGGGATGTCGAGCGGGAGCGGCGGGAGGCGGCGGGGCCCGGTGGGCGAGAGCGTCGCGGACGACGGCGCGGACGCGGACGACGGCGCGGACGTCGACTCGCTCCCCTCCGAGAGCGTCGCCTCGTCCGTGTACATGAGGAGGCGGTGCTGGCGCGTCTTTTTGAGGGCCTGGTGCTTGCGAGCATTGGTCGAGATGACGCCCTTGATGAGGGTGTTGCGGTGGTTCCACGCGATGCGGATCAGGTCGCGGCGGAGCAAGTCTGTCATGTCGCTGTACGTGCCGAGGGTGTGGCGGTACTCGAGGCGCGGGAGCTGGAACTCGAGGTCGTACAGGTTCGTGAGCGAGTACTCGCCGTCGCCCTTGTACGACAGGCACACGGTGACGGCGTCCACGAGCATGTGCACGAACGAGACGTACGTGCTTGCGCGCTGGATCATCTCGCTCTTGAGCGCCTCGGTATCGACGTCGTCGTCGTCGTCGACGTCCCAGAGGGCGGGCGCCGGCGCGGACGCGGACTCGACCGTGCGCTCGCTCGTCTCGCTGCCCGAGTCGGAAAGGCTGCCGTCCGAGTCGGTGTCCGAGTCGCTCGCCTCGCGCGGCGCGAGCGTGTTGCGCGCGCGGCGCGACATGGCGACGATGTGGCGGAGCCAGCGGCGCTTGTGCGCGTCCTCGACGACGTCCTCCTCGCGGGCCTGCGCGCGGCGCGTGCCGAACAGGTACTCCATGATCTGCTTGCCGACCTTGAGCTCGAGCTGCGCCTTGAACGGGTGCAGATGCAGCTCGCAGCAGTCCATGATCGCGACGCCGCCGACGGGCGGCAGCTGCAGCCAGTGCGCGCGGAGGAAGCGCCCCTCGTCGATCATCGGGTGCCCGTCCGCGGGGTAGTACGGCGTGAGGATGTCCTCGAAGTACGCGGACGGGTGCGCATTGTGGGCCTCGATGCGCCGCGCCGTCACGCCCTGGATGGACGTGCCGTTCGCGAGCGCGATGCGCGCGAGCGCCGTGCCCTGCAGCTGGAACCGCGCGTGCATCCCGTGGGGGTCGCGGGGGTCCGTCCCGGTGCCGACCATGTTCCACTCGACCGCGTCGGCGAACACGCGGACGAGCAGCGCGAGGTGCTTGGACTTGTCGCGCGCCGACGAGTGCGAGAGGAGCACGGCCTCCTCGAGCATGCACAGGTCCGCGTACAGGTCGAGCACCTGCAGCGACACGCGGAGCAGCTCGGTGAGGCCCGCCGTGTTGAGCTGCGCGTACGACGCCTCGAACGCGCGCCGCTCGTTGAGCAGGTCGTGGATGCGCGCCTGGTACGACGCGAGGAGGCCGACCACGTACGCGGGGTCGTCGAACGTGAAGCTGTACGCGAGCGAGTCGCGCCGCCGCTCGTGCTCCTTCTGCAGCGGGTCCGTGTAGAGCAGCAGATCGGTCGCGACGTGGTACATCGCCGCGTACTGCTCGCTCGTCGCCGTGAGCGCGAGGCGCGGGCACAGCACCTGCATCATGTCCATCTGGTGCGCGAGGTAGTTGACCGAGAGGTCGTCCGCGCGCGCGGGGTCGAGCACCGGGCGCGCGGCGTCGTGCAGGCGCTGGCGGTTGTGCTGGTCGAAGCGCACAAACACATGGATCGGGCGCACGAGCTGGCGCACGCTCGGCTCGCGCTCGCCGTGCAGCACGCCCGGCGGCAGGCGCAGCACATCGAGGCACCACGCGTCGTCGGCGCCCGCGAGCGTGCGCGCCGAGTGGAAGGACTGCAGCGCCTTGAGCGACAGGTAGTGGCGGAACAGCACGCGGTGCTGCGTCGAGCGCTCGTCGTACATGTCGTCGCTCACCGTGTAGGTGCGCGCACGCAGCTGCGCCGCATGGAAGAGCAGCGTCGAGTGCGGCCCGGCGCGGCTGTGCAGCACGAGCTCGGGCTCCACGCACACGCACACGCTGTGCTTGCGGACGGCGAACTCGTCCGCGATGCCGTCGCTCGGCGCGTGCGCGTCGCTGCACTCCGCGCCAAAGTCCTCGAGGAACGCGTCGCCGAGCGCGAGCGACGAGAGGCGCGCGACGCCGGCCAGCAGGTCGTGCAGCAGCGCGCTCGTGTCCGCCGCGTCCGGCTCGTCCGCGCCCGCCGCCGCGAGCGCGCGCGCGCGCTCGAGCAGCTCGCGCATCTGGTACTGCTCTGCGACGCTGAGCCGCTGCATGAAGCTGATGTGCAGCAGGAGACTCTCGTAGTAGCGCAGCAGCACGTCGCGCGTCTCGTTCGTGAGCACAGCGACGGGGTGGTGCACCCACACCTGGTTGTGGAACGCGGCCCACTCGGCGGTGAGCGACGGGTCCGGGCCCGACGGGTCGCCCTCGTGGCTCGGCAGCTCCGTGCGCGGCTCGTCGAGGCGCGCGATGTGCGCGGCGATCGCCGCCTGCTCCGCACGCACCTGCTCGAGGCGCTCCTCGTGCTGTGCGCGCCGCGAGCCCTGCGTCGCAGGCGACGCGAGCAGCGACTCGAGCGCATGCACGTCGCCGGCCAGCTGCCGCAGGCGCTGCGTCTCGAGCGCCAGGTGGTCGTCCATGACGTGCCGCGAGCGCCCGATCAGGCACGTGTGCGAGTCCTCGTGCCCAAACTTCGAGAAGGTGACGAGCGCGGGCGGCGCCTCGGGCGCGGCGCGCCGGCGCGCCGCCGCCGGCGGCTCCACGAGGCGGTGCAGGTTGATGCGCACGAGCGACAGGACCTTGTCGAAGTGCAGGCGCGGCGCCGCGCCACCGAGCGGCCGCGCGCCGAGCTCCTCAAAGTCGAGGCGGTCGTAGAGCGCGGCGTAGTGCGTGGCGTCGTGGCCGCGGCGGAAGACGTCGTCGAGGAGGTCGTAGCGGAGCTGCGAGCCTGCGTCGATGGGCAGGCGCCCGTGGAGTTCGGGGAAGCGCGCGCACACGCTGAAGAGCTCGAGGTCGCTCACGTCGAGCTCGGCCTCGTACAGCGGCTTGCGCCACGAGCGCGTGGGCTGGGCGCCGGGGACGGGCGGGCGGTGCACGGTCTCCTGCATGCGCTGGTGCATGTCGAGGTAGAACGTGCTGCACTGCGCCTTGAGGCCGACGTGCGTGCGGAGGCCCTCGAGCAGGTCGTAGCGCAGCGGCTGGAGGAACATGTGGGACACGTGGAGCGGCGCGATCGAGAAGCGGTACTTGAACGTGCCGAGGAAACGCCCGAACTTGGGCGACTTGACGCCGGGGCGCGCGGGGAACACGCGGCCCTGCCGGACGGGCAGGCTGAGCCGCCCGTTGAACAGGCGGAGCCAGTCGCGGAAGTGGTGCCACGTGCGCGACGTGATGTACAGGCTGTTGCGCGCGGCGCCGTGCGGCGCGCCGACCTGCAGGTCGCCGTCGCCGATCGCCTGCAGCGACACGGACAGGTGCACAAAGTCGGAGCGCCAGCCGCCGTACGAGTCGACCTGCGCGTCGCGGGGCAGGCGCGCGTAGCCCTCGAACGAGCGCATGCGCACCTGCCAGTGCGGCTTGCGCCCGAAGAAGCGGCACTGGCGGTGGAACGGCGGGCCCTCGCACCGCGGCGTGCGCTCGCACGTCGCGTCCGTGCACGTGTGCTCGGAGACGAGGCCCATGCCCCAGCGCACGCCGCCGGCGAGCTGCCAGCTGATCTTGGCGAGGGGGATCGGCGGCCCGACGTCCGTGCGCGTGAGCACCGCGCGCGCGCGCACGCGCTGGCCGCGCTCGACGTCGTACAGGCCGACGGCCGCGGGGTCGACGAGGTGCCGCAGGTCCGGCACGGCGAGCACATGCTCGCCGCTGCGCACCTGCAGGAATTCGCGGTCCGCGTTGTCGAAGCCGAGGCGCAGCTCGACGTGCTTGCGCCACGCGAGGACCCAGCCGGCGCCCGCGTGCAGCACGTCGTACGGGTCGCGCGTGCCCTTCATGAGCAGGTGCACGTCGCTGTCGAAGAAGATGTGCAGGCGGCCCTGCAGCTGCAGCGGCAGCTTGTCCCAGGGGCCCGGCTTCGGCGACGGGTCGTGCGGCGGGCTCGTGATGCTGTCGAACACGCGCTGCAGGTCCTGCAGGCCCGGCTGGATCGACTGGCTCCACCCGAACTGCGTCGGGTGCTCGGACGCGACGTGCACGGTGACGGGCCCGTACAGCTTCGGGCTCATCGTGCTCTTCGGCACGAGCAGCCCGTGCTCGGCGTCCTGCGCGCCGTCGAGCGCGGGCACGATGACCGTGTGGATGTGGCGCACCGAGTACTCGTCGCCCAGCTGCTCGGCGACGCACACGTCGCCCTCGGCCTCGAAGCTCGGCGCCAGGTCGCTGCGCGGCGGGATGTGCAGCAGCGGCACGGGGTAGTCGCGCAGGCGCAGCAGGCCGTCGGACGCGCGCCACCGCACATGCAGCGGGACGAGCGTCGTGTACGCGAGGTCCACCGGGTTGCCCGCCTGCGTGTGCAGCCAGTGGTGCGTGTCCGCGAGGTCAAAGCCGACCGGCGCCGAGACGTCGACGCACAGGTTCGTCATCGTCAGGCGCACGAGCGGCGGCTCCATCGGGCGCGGGAGCACGTCGATCGGCAGCGCCGCGTCCGCGCTCTCGCGCGCGTCGTACACGCGCCGGTGGATGTACGAGAGCAGCGAGCGCTCGCGGTGCGCGCGCACATGCCGCGCGTTGTGCCAGCGGCGCACCCAGTTCGACGAGTGCACCGCATCGAGGCGCGCGCGCGCGCCAGGCGGCACGCCCGCGCCGGCCTTCTGCGCGCGCGCGTCGAACAGGCGGTCGCGCTCGAGGCGCATGAGCTGCTCGTCGAGCCCCGCGCGGAAGATGAGGTTCAGCGTCGCGTCGAGGCTGTGGTCGGCCGCCTCGAGCACCGCGACGCCGAAGCGCACCGAGACGGGCGGCACGCGCTTCGGCGCCTCCGCGTGCGGGTAGATCACGCTGTCGGTGCGCCCGTGCACGATCTGGAAGAAGAGCTGCTTCGACGCCTTGAACGCCACGATCGAGCCCTCGATCAGGCGGTGCGTGTGGTACGCGTACGGCGCGCGCACCTGCAGGCAGTCGCCCGTGACGAAGATCGTACGCGGCGCCGCGCGCTGCTCGCCCCACGACACGGCGAGGCGCCGCAGCACGACGCCCTCCTCCCACGCGGGCGGCGCCACCTGGCTCGGCACGCACGCAATGAGCGTCGCCAGCGACACGCGCACGCCCTCGCGCACGCGCACGCGCACGCCGTGCACATGCGCAAACACGCGGCGCTCGTTCGGCAGGTCCATGTGCCAGTGCACGAGCGGCACGAGCGCGGCGAGGTGCAGCTCGCACGCGGGGCCCTCTGCTGCGCGCGGCTCCGCGCGCGGCAGGGCCTGGCGCAGCATGTGCACCGTGTGCACGGCCATGAGCACGCAGTACGTGTGCGTCAGCGCGACGCGCAGCACGACGGGGCCCGTCGCCGTCGCGTCGACGTGCACCTGCGGCGCATGCGCGCGGACCTCGACGGTGGCCTGCAGCGCCGGCACATGCAGCATCTCGGTGCCGCGCTCGAGCTGGTGCAGCGGCGGCGTGCGCCGCGGCGCGCGCAGCACATGCGCCCACGCGCCAAAGTCCCAGCGGTCCGCCGCGACGACCGACTCGCGCGCGGCGTCGCCCGGCGTCGGCGAGAGCGCCGCGCCGATGTGGACGAGCGGGCACAGCCGCACGTCGTGCAGCTCGAGCGAGACGGCCGCGCCGCGCCCGCCGGCCGCCGCGACGCCGCGCGCGCGCGTGTCGATGTGCTCGG